ACTTGTCTAAGCATAGTTTAGTGATGATAGTTTTACAGTGTGACAAGCTAGAAAATGCCATTGTTCCAGCAGTAAAACCTATAGGAAAGTTCTTTTGGAAAGATTACAACTTTGGTTTGTGTACCCACTAAAAAACAAAGGACTAGATAATTGTGATACTTAATATGACAGTGCCAGAGTCATTTGACTTGTTCCTCAATTTAGGAACCTATATATTGCCGCACTTCTGCTCAACACTTCCCTATTTCAGCAGGTTTCGTAAGGTAATTAATACCTGCAGGGCTCTGATGTTTTGCAAATCTTTTCTGTGAGATACATGGCAACTACTTCAAAGCTCCTTGACATCCATAACAATCTGTGGCCTTGAGTTAAACTATATCCATATGGGTAGATCCCTATTCCTTATTTATTTGCTTTGTGGTAGCACTCAGAAGCCCCAGTCATGTATCAACAATTTGAAGGCCCATCAAATTCGGTGAGGTTCTGTGCAGAAATAGGGGTCTGCCTGTGAGGATCAGATTGCAGGAGCAGGGCCTAAAGTGCTTGTGACTCATTTAGACTTGAAGGTGCCAGCTGCTTTGGCGGTCTCAAAAGAAATCCATTGCAACTAGAGATAAGGAAAGGGAAGCTTAGAAGAAATATTTGAGGGATACAGATTTTTTTTTTTTCTTTTCAGTTTTTAGGGTGTAACATGACCAGGGTAGTGACTAAGCCTCTCTGAGCTGTGCAATATTTGCTTGCTTTTAATGATAAAGTCTGTACAATGTTTTTCTTAGGAATTCCATATTTAAATCAGGAAGAGGAAAGACAATTACGGGAGCAGTATGATGAAAAACGTTCTCAGGCAAATGGTGCAGGGACCCTATCGTACATTTCCCCTAATGCCACAAAGTGTCCTGTGACGATTCCTGAGGATCAGAAAAAATTCATTGAGAGAGTGGTGTAAGTGGAAATATAAAAATGAAATCATGTCATCCTAATGTGTGCGCACTGTTCTTTATGTGGTAGTCCTCCATTCTGAAGTTGCCTAAAAACTTGAAGTTTCCAGTGTTCTGATTCTAAATTTGTCAGTCTTAACAAAATGTTCTTTTGAATGAGAGGGTTTAAGTCTGGGAAACTTCTGTTCCTTTTAATCAGACTTTTTTGCTGCTTATCTGCAACTTTCAGTAATCTGTCTTCAGCTACATCAAGGGTACTCAAGTTGTTAGTTACATTTTTGACTCTTGACGGTAGTGTCAGTTTTCCAAAATCTCTGCTAAAGTTTAATCCAATTCTTAGTTTTTGATCTTGAATGGAAAATAATGGCCATGTATGTTCTGGCCCTCAAATATGAAGGCATTTAAGTCTACCCTTGGTTTCTGTTTTAGATTTCTTAATCACTCAAGATTTCATATTTATCACTATACTAATGTCTCTAAAAATGAAAAAAAAAATAATATACACACACACACACATATGTAAAAAATAATAAATGTCTTAAATATTCCATTAATCCTTCTTATAAAAGATTTGCCTTGCCTTTTGGCATATATCACTAAATGTTTTTGTGACAATAGTATTGTATTAGTAAAAGCAAAAAATAACCTGTTTAATCTATTTCCTCCAGGGAGCAAATTGAAGATTTGATACAGAATGAAGAAAACAAGAGTTTGCAGTTGGAGCCATGCACAGGGTCAGTTTCTAAAAATAAACACTTTTTCTCTGGTAAACAGAGAACTCTGAACTGTCTTCTATATAAGAAATTAGGTTTTACCTACTAGCCAGCTATATCAGGGGAGGTGGAAGCCTCTTTCTGCAGATAGTGTCAACAAATTTATCCCTTCTTTTTGGCAAGTCATTCTCATCAGAAAGGCAGATATATGTACAATAAGACGTAAATCAATTTCTCCTTGGAAAATTAAACTAGTGTTTAGCCCTTTAAATGCCCTTTAAAATACTATGTGATAACACCATGAGCTGTTTTATGTTCACTGCATGAATTTTTAACATAAATTTGTCTTTGACTTTGAAATATTTATATACGTGAACCATTAATAACATTACTCTTTTTTGCTTTTAAAGATTTCAGAGGAAACTAATTTATCAGACCTTGAGCTGGAAGTAAGTTACTAGTGTTAACCTCTTACCTTATCTACTGTATATCTGTGCTGTTTTTAACATGAAAAAATCTGGATAAAAAGCTGATCTATGCTAAATCTCATATCCATTATATTTAGATTGTTTCTCTTCTTAAGCAGTCTTGTAATAGGGCTAAACTGAACTAATGCTTACAAGCGTGGAGTTCTTAGGGGTTCATTAGAATCCTTTTTTTAAAATTGAGCATATTTCTATTTTACCACTTATAATTATTAAAATACATTGTACTGTTCAATTTACAACTAACAGATTAGAGTGATTATGTAATAACATGTGACTCTTAACGTACAGTGTGCAGTTATTGCAAACAACTGTAGAGCAGGAATGTATTCCTGCATAGATAGTGGGATTAATTTGAACGATAAATAGTTCTATAGGGTGTTATATTTACGGGTGATATTGTGGGAGATTGTTTCAAGTTGGCAGTAGTTCTTAAAATCCTGTTTTTAGAGGCTGTTCTTAGCTAAAATTGATTTGTGCTGATTCTCATCTTTAGAAGTAAATTGTATTTTAAAAGTAGATAAAAAAGCTATTGAAGAAGCCATTTGAGCAATGGAGATGAGATGAGGTCTTTAAGCTGTTTAACAAATATATTTTCACAATGTTTTCCTTACCATTTTTGTTGAACATGAGTAAGTTACTCTAAAATACTTGTTTGGATATCTGCACATTGAAATAATGGGATTTTGCATTTTTTTATCATTGTGGCAGATTTTTTTAACAGCTTTGCCTACACTCCACAGCGAGCCCTCATTGTGCAGTGTGAATTTGAAGTTCTTGTGGCACCTTAGAGACTAACATATTTATTTGGGCATAAGCTTTTGATGAAGTAGGTTTTAGCCTACAAAAGCTTATGCCCAAATAAATCTGTTATTCTCTAAGGTGCCACAAGTACTCCTCATTCTTTTTGCTGATACAGACTAACACGGCTACCACTCTGAAACATGTGGAATTTGCGTGTATGTGCATTCCTGAATGGGTAACTTTAGTAACTGCTTTTTTGAATAAGTTTCTTTCTGAAAAAATGCACATGCAGTACCTTAACCCAACATCAGATTACACAGATTGATTTAATTGCACTGAAGTCAAGAAGTTGAGTTAGAGTTCTCTCAGCAACAGTTCAGCTATCTGCATAGTATATTAAGAAACTAACACTAATTGTTGAAATTCTTGAGATACACAAGAAGGCCAAATTATTGAATACCTTGGTACTTTGAATTTGCCAACTTCATTTTGGTTAAAAGCTGCCTTAATAGTTTTTGGATTTAATATTAAGCCTGTCTGTAACCTTACTACAAGTTGTGTAGCTATGAAAATTAGCCTAGTTGAAGATGGAGCTGCAATATACTAATTGCCAAATTAGTCATAAACTATAGTTTACCTTTCACTGTTTGCTGTAGGTATCCAAAAGGTATCCATGTTGAAACTCTGGAGACAGAGAAGGTAATTAATTGACTAACAACATACTGTCTTAGATGCTTGTTCTGCGTAAGGGAAATCTCAGTCCTAATGAAATTTCATGCTACTTGACCTCTAAATTTGCCTGCTGAAGCATTGTTATGCAAACTTTTAAACTTTCATTAAACTATGATAAAATACTTTTGAATAACCTTAGTGGCTTGACTTTAAAATCCATGAGGTATAAATACAAATATATGACATATATTTATATTAAAAGTGTATGAGTGAAAACTATAATGGCTATCTAACAGTCAGTACATTGAGAGTATGAAGTTTTGGTCAGCTGAGTGGTTTGATAACAGAACAATAATTGCAGCAGATATTCAGCATTAACTTTTTCCCACAGAGCTAGATAAACAATATGAACCCCAAATCACCTGAAAATACTGGATTAAAAAACCCCCCTGAAACATAGGGAAACTTAGTATGATAAATGTTTTCATTCCAACCAAAAAGCATATTTCCCTTAGGATTCATTATGTGAGTAGGTTCAACTCAGATAGCCTTGTTAAAATTATAAGCCCCTAGGAAAAAATTAGCTTATAAAAGAAATACTGTAATATTAATAGGTAAACTGTTGCAGCTAAACTCTGAGTATAACCGATGCAATTTAGCTTTGTTTGCAGTAGAAATTTAGATAGCAAATTGTGATTGGTTCATGTATTAGCGTTGGGATTCTTTTTTAGTTTCTCACTTTTTTTGTCAAGCTATTCCTGGAATAATTTACTTATGCCATTACTGCTTTCAGAAGGAAAGATACATTGTCATTAGCAAGGTAGATGAAGAAGAGCGCAAAAGAAGAGAACAGCAGAAACAAGCAAAAGAACAGGTAAAATTTTTAGTATCCTTGTTTGTTCTTTCTTAAGGTAAAGAAAACACTGTTCATTTTAATTGAAATGTTGGAATTGGGGAAGAGACCTGACTGACTTGACTTCCACATGCTTATGACACTGAAATTTCCCCACCTCTCAACTCCAGTGTCCTGCCTCTTGCATTGGTGATATCTGATCCTTCAGAGGAAGGAAAAATCAGGGATATGCTTGACTAAGTAAGCAGTGCTGTGCATGATGGAAGTGGAGGGGGATAATATTTGTACCTGCTCACTGTGACTCTCTGCTGATGTCCTGGAGCATATTACCTTTATCTTAGCAAGCATAGCTAGAAGATATTTATCATTACTCGTCTCTTAAAAACTTGCTACAGTATTTGAAAACCTTTAGTAGTAGCTAACTGCATTCTGAAAAGTGTTTCCTTGTACTATTTTCAAACTAAAGTGACACCGTGGAGCTAGCAAGGGATGTTAAGAGTAACAAGAAGGATTTCTACAGGTATGTTCGCAACAAGAAGAAGGTCCAGGAAAGTGTGGGCCCCTTATTGAATGGGAGAGGCAATCTAGTGACAGAGGATGTACTAAATGCTTTTTTTTTGCCTCTGTCTTCACGAACAAGGTCAGCTCCCAGACTACTGCACTGGGCAGACCAGTATGGGGAGGAGGTGACCAGCCCTCTGTGGAGAAAGAAGTCGTTCAGGACTATTTAGAAAAGCTGGACAAGCACAAGTCCCTGCGGCTGGATGCACTGCATCCGAGGGTGCTAAAGGAGTTGGCGGATGTGATTACAGAGCCATTGGCCATTATCTTTGGAAATTCATGGTGATTGGGAGAGGTCTCGGATGACTGGAAAAAGGCTAATGTAGTGCCCATCTTTTAAAAAGGGAAGGAGGAGGATCCGGGGAACTACAAGCCAGTCAGCCTCACCTCAGTCCCTGGAAAAATCATGGAGCAGGTCCCCAAGGAATCAATTTTGAAGCACTTAGGGGAGAGGAAAGTCAGCATGGATTCACCAAGGGCAAGTCATGCCTGACTAACCTAATTGCCTTCTATCATGAGATAACTGGCTCTGTGGATGAGGGAAAAGCAGTGGATGTGTTATTCCTTGACTTTAGCAAAGCTTTTGATATGGTCTTCCACAGTATTCTTGCCAGCAAGTTAAAGAAGTATGGCCTGGATGAATGGACTGTAAGGTGGATAGAAAGCTAGCTAGATCATCGGGCTCAACAGGTAGCGATCAATGGGTCCATGTCTAGTTGGCAACCGGTATCAAGCGGTGTGCCCCAAAGGTTGGTCCTAGGGCCGGTTTTGTTCAATATCTTCATTAATGATCTGGAGGATGGCGTGGATTGCATCCTCAGCAGGTTTGCAGATGACCCTAAACTGGGAGGAGTGGTAGATATGCTGAAGGGTAGGGATAGGATACAGAGGGACCTAGACAAATTAAGATGATTGGGCCAAAAGAAATCTGATGAGGTTCAACAAGAAGTGCAGAGCCCTGCACTTAAGAAGGAAGAATCCCATGCACTGCTACAGACTAGGGACCAAATGGCTAGGTAGTAGTTCTGCAGAAAAGGACCTAGGGGTTACAGTGGACAAGAAGCTGGATATGAGTCAACAGTGTGCCCTTGTTGCCAAGAAGGCTAACGGCATTTTGGACTCTATAAGTAGGAACATTGCCAGCAGATTGAGGGACGTGATCATTCCCCTCTATTCGGCATTGGTGAGGCCTCATCTGGTGTATTGTGTCCAGTTTTGGGCCCCACACTACAAGAAGGATGTGGAAAAATTGGAAAGAGTCCTGCGTAGGGCAACAAAAATGATTAGGGGGCTGGAGCACATGACTTATGAGGAGAGGCTGAGGGAACTGGGATTGTTTAGTCTGCGGAAGAGAAGAATGAGGGGGGATTTGATAGCTGCTTTCAACTACCTGAAAGGGGGTTCCAAAGAGGATGGATCTAGACTGTTCTCAGTGGTGGCAGATGATAGGACAAGGAGTAATGGTCTCGAGTTGCAGTGGGGGAGGTTTAGGTTGGATATTGTGAAAAAGTTTTTCCTTAAGAGGGTGGTGAAGCACTGGAATGGGTTTCCTAGGGAGGCAGTGGAATCTCCTTCCTTAGAGGTTTTTAAGGTCAGGCTTGACATAGCCCTGGCTGAGATGATTTAGTTGGGGATTGGTCCTGCTTTGAGCAGGGGGTTGGACTAGATTACCTCCAGAGGTCCCTTCCAACCCTGATATTCTATAATTCTTATTTTCTTACTTTGACTTGGTGTCAAAAGGAAGGCCTGAGTTTTTTTTTATTGTACCCCTCATGACATTAAGTACCTCAGTTATTCTTTTTAATGAAAATTAGAGAAGACTTTAATAGCTGTCTGTTTCAGTCTTTCCAGGATAGTCCTGAAACTGGGCATACAGTTCCAGATGTATGGCTTGCAGTACTGAATTGCCTGCTTTAATGAATTTTTAGTGCTTGTAATTCTTTTCTTTGGGACATCAAATGCTTTTGTGCTAAGAATTAATTGACTAGTCACAGTAGAACTTATCCAGCCATAACTACAGAGACTAAGGTTCCCCATAAATGTTAAAAAGTTTTCTTAGTTAGTAGCTCTTAAGGTGGATTAATAATGGATAAAGTAAGAAGTGTTTTTAGTATTGTCCTCTTACCATTAGAATGAGCATAAAGAGTGGGTTTCCAGTGCTCAAACATCTTCCCTTGGACTTGCTCTCTATATCCTTATGTGAATCTACTCTACCAGATCTGCAGGTTATACATGTATGAAACATTTAAGCCTTAAATGCATTACTTACAATGACTGAGTACTTATATTTAAATAGAAGTCGTGTGATGCTTCTAAGTGAAGTTGGTGCACCACATTTGTATTGTAGCATGTTGTTGAAATAATACTTTTAATGTAAAAATATTCCTTACTGTACCCTAGCTCAATAAAAATGCATTGTTCTAAGAGCAATCAGAGGGCTACTACCTTGGTTCTGGCCACAGAAAGGAAGAAAGAAAAGGAAGAAAGACAAAATGCAATGAATGTGACTCATTTAGGCTGCAACTTCATTCACTTAACATATGTGGCAATGAGTCACACAGTACAGATTCATTCTTTCCTTAATCATTCCCACTTTTGAGGGCTGCCATCAGCCCTCCCCCTTTTCAAGTTGGTCCCAGTCCATTGTTGGGACCCCATCACCATTTCCTTGTATGGGGACTAAAGTGGGCTTGAAAAAAAACGGGGACTATACCTGATGTTTGGAGCCCCAGCCCCTCTTTTCTTAGGGGATTCCTTCCCCTAAATCCATTTCCAACTCCTGTTTATCAGGGAACTGTATCCCCTCTAATGAGTACCTGCACTGAACACCTGTTGCATGTATTACCTAAGTTGCAACATCTTGACCTAGCCTCCTTCCTTGCATCTCTTGGTCCCTCACCTGCTGTGGGAAGGTGATGGTGAAAAATTCCTTTCCAGCTCCAAATGAAAAAAGCAACCAGCGCAAACCCACAGAAGATCATAAAATCCTGTCCTACTTTGATCCCATGGGTGGGAAGATGGGTGCTGCTGATCAGTGACTGAGAGTGCACATTCCTTCTGGTATGCATGGGGTATAAATACCTCCCTTCCCTGGTACACATGGTCAGTCAGAGCCTCCATCTGGTCTGACCACTTTTCCCACCTTGGCTCTGCTCAGGTAAGTCTGTCTCCCTTTTCTCCCTCCCTTGTAACCCAGATGCAGCAGGGACATCTAATGGAGTCCTGTCCTCCTGTCCTCCAGCCCCAAAATGCACCTCATTCAGTTTTGCTGATTACATTATAGAATAATGTAGTAGCTTGTTGTATACAGCATGCAACTCACAGATCAGTATTTTAAACTAATGGTGTATAGATTAGCAGTACTTCCAAATACCTTACAGACTGAGGTCTGAAATCAAGACAAATCTCTAAAATATCAAATGGTTGAGTCGTGAGATGTCTGTGTCTGTCTCTGGGGCCTGACAAAAGTCCTGAGTCCTCAGCAGAAAAATGCCAGGCACCCTTTATTGAATGCATGTTTCAGGATAAAAATTCAACCTGTTTTGAGCATGCATTATTTGCTCATAAGTGGAAGGCCTCTTTGGCTTGATATTGAACACCCCTTTCTGACTCAGCTAAACACACTTTCAGTGTGACTTCTTTCACCTCCTGTCAACTCTCTGCTTGCCCTCTTGCAACTTTTACTGCTAAAGGAAGATTTTGAAAAGCATTCGATGGAGGCTTAACTCTGCCGTTATTGAAGTCAATTTTAAGTCTCATTGACTTCAGTGAGAGTAGAATTAAAGCAATAGTGAATTGTTTAAACAAAAACACCTCACTGCTTGTTTTTCCTTGGCAATGTAGGCATTGAAATGAGGTGGTAGAAGTTTTTTTCACTCTTGCTCTAATAGCAAAAGCAAAGTTCATCAAATGAAAATGAACAAAAACATTTGATACTATTGAGCAGTTTTACTTTTAGCCCCATTGTTTGCAATACTATGTAGAAGTTTATAGTATCTGACTTAGACATTCCCAACAGTTTTCAGGCCAGCTTATGCCTATTTTATAGATGGGGATCTATGGCACAAGTTGACTTGTCTTTATTTACACCATTAGAGAGACAGCGGATACCAGTGCCCTACTCTGACCACAATAATACTTCCACAAATATTTGCCTTTCCTAGGGTCTGATCTGATTATCATTTTATGAAGTATACAGAATGGGGGACCTTAATTTGAGTTGGAGTTGCGGGGATATTGTCTTGTTGTCACAATATACAGACATTGCTGTCAGTTATTTGCATTTATACTTCACTTAATGATACTTGAAATTTTGCAGGAAGAACTCAGTGATGCAGTGGGATTTTCCAGAGTCATTCATGCCATTGCTAATTCTGTAAGTTAACCAACACATTGTGGGTGTTTTTTTTTCCTTCTCATATATACCTTTAGTTTTCAGCTGAGGCCTGGCCTGACATGAGTAATTAACACTTGGAGGGAGGCCTCATTACTTGGCGGATAGGATTAGAGAGGTAAACGGATCATCAGGCTGAAAGCAGAACTTTTGTGCTAAATAAGATAAGTAAATAGGTCAGTAGGCTAAAAAAACAGAATGTCTGAGCAAGCTAAGGTAAGAGGGAGAACATCCAGGGAACCATTTACTAGCAATGGACAAGATTAATTAGGAATGCAGAGAAGAGGTCAAGCATCAACAATTTATGGACACAGCATGCTGCACAGGGATTGGTTTTTGCAAAGTAATCAAGCCAATACAAAAATGTCATGTATAGTAAATGCAATGAGATGTGTAAATGTATATGAAGGGAGAGGGTTTCTGTGTATGTTTGGAGGTGTGATATACCCTGCATTCACCTCCCTGTTTTTGTTTGATAAGCTCAGTGTAGCTTTGCTGTATGGCAAATAAAGGAACCTTAGTGATGAAATCTAGAGTCAAACTGAGTTTTTTTAGATCCCAGAGAACTGGATGAAGTGTTCTGGATAAGCCGAGTGGAAAAGGTCTCAGGGAGTCCCAATGTAGTTAACAGTAAAAAGTTGATAATTCACATAGAGTATGAGGTCCATTACTACTAAATTGTACAAATAAGCAAATACTAATGAAGTATGACTTTAATGTATGTAACTTCAGAGCCCTGCGCGGATACAAAATTTATATCCTTGGGTCTAAAGTGCATATGTGCAGACCTGCTGTGCTCTATCAGGAACCACAACGGTGATAGCAACAGCATGTGGGGCTGCCGTATGGGAGTATGGAAGCTGCTCGCACACGCTAGTGTGACCGGGGCAGCTGCCGGTGAGCCTGGTGCCCGTCCCAGTGGCCAGGGCTGGAGATGGTACATCCACGCCAGAGGAGCTGCCTGGGTGGGGTGCTGGCTCCTGTGAACGGCAGCCCGACATGCTGTTGCTTTCGTTGCTGTAGTTCTTAGTAGAGCCCTGCAGCTCCGTGGATATCCACATCCATGGATATAAATTTTGTATCCGTGCAGGGCTCTACTTGACTTTAATTAAGACTTTTGGTTATGGCAATGCTTTGATATAAAATAAGTGTAGTGTATCCTTTTTAAAAAGTCTTTAGTAATATGAAATTTCACTACACCTATTCATTAGATCTTTTAAAAAGTGAATAATACCAATTTCTTATAGGAGCTAACAAGATTCTGAGTCATTTAATTTTTTTTTCAAAAAGGACATAGCTCTTGTTTTGGCTGTAACCACAAGGTAAAAAGCATAACCACAGTAAGAAGAAAGCTCAACAGGGTCTGCTTACTTTCCACCTAAATATTCAAAATAGGTTTTTAAATGGTTTTGCTATGGTCTCTAGAACAGGACTCATCGTGTTTGTACAGTGCCTGCCACAATCGTCCCCTCCCCTCTTCTTATTGGTACTGCCACTGTACAAATAATTATCAGATACTTGAACTGTAAAGACTATGCTTGTCATTCAGTATAGTAGTTTGAAGTTAAAATGTAATGAATTGAAAACTGAGTGAAACTGCACCAGAGCCTTTTCCGTAACCTATTTTGTATACAGTAGTTTGAAATGTCATTCACACATATAATGGACTCTTTCTTTAGGGCAAACTTGTTGTTGGACACAACATGCTACTGGATGTCATGCACACGATCCACCAGTTTTACTGTCCCCTACCTGAAGTAAGTGGCCTTGTCAGTCTTCAGGTAATTAGAAAATGTATTCTGAAATTTGAAGTAATTCATCTGAAATCTATTGTGGATGGAAACTTACTAGGGGGGTTTTGAACAAACTAAAATAGAATCTTTAAAATGCTATTAGAAATCTGTTTGCTTTCTGGAGATACTGGCCCATAGTTCATTCAGTTTTCTTAAACCCTCTACTAGGGAGAGTTTGCAGTTAGGGCTGAAATTATCTCCATCATCAATTTGGTAACTGTATCTTTGAATGAAGTGCCGTAGTAAGAGATGCAACGAGAGATGCAAAGGAGGGGAATTTCCCACACCTAGCTATTCTTTTTAGTTGACAGATCTCAGGAACCCTCCCAGATTGAAGTGTCAGTAGAGGAGGTTTTGGAACAAACTGATAAATTCAACAGTAATTTGAAATCTCAGGACTGGATGGTAATCACCCAAGAATTCTGAAGGAACTCAAACATGAAATTGCAGAGCTGCTTACTATGATATATAAACTATTGCTTAAATTAGCCTCTACCACAAGACTACTGGATAGCTAATGTAATGCTGATTTTTAAAAAAAGGCTCCAGAGGCCATCCTGACAATTACAGGCTTCTAAGCCTACCTTCAGTAGTACGCAAATTGGTTGAAACTATAGTAAGGAATAGAATGATCAGATACATAGATGAACACAATATGTTGAAGAGTCAATGAGGAAATCCTGCCTCACAAATCTATTCTAATTCTGGGTCAATTAGGGTGACTAGATAGCAAGTGTGGAAAAATTGGGATGGGGGTGGGGGTAATAGGTGCCTATATAAGACAAAGCTCCAAATACCAGGACTGTTCCTATAAAATTGGGACATCTGGTCACCCTAGGGTCAACAAATGTGGACAAGTATCCAATGGCTATAGTGTACTTGGACTTCCAGAAAGCCTTTGACAAGGTCTCTCACCAAAGACTCTTAAGCAAAGTAAACAGTCATAGGATGAGAGGAAAGGTCCTGTCATTGATCAGTAACTCATTAAAAGGTAAGAAACAAAAGGTAGAAATAAATGGTCAGATTTCACAGTGGAGAGAGATCAATAGTGGGGTCCTCCAAGGATCTATACTGGGACAAGTTATGTTCAACATAGTCATGAATGATCTGGAAAAAGGGTGAACAATGAGGTGGCAAAATTTGCAGCTGATACTAAGTTACTCAAGACGGTTAAGTTCAAAGCTGAGTGCAAAGAGTTAGCGGGGATCTCACAAAATAGGGTGACTGGGCAACAAAATGGCAGATGGAATGCAATGTTGATAAATGCAAAATAATGCACATTGGAAAACATAATTCCAACTATACATACAAAATGATGGGGTCTAAAGTAGCTGTTGCCACTCAAGGAAAAGATCTTGGAGTCATTGTGGATAGTTCTCTGAAAACATCTGCTCAAAGTGGAGCAGCAGTTAAAGTGAGGATTCAGGGTATTAAATGTATGTTATTGAAACACGTAAGTTGAGTGCAAATAAAAATCAACTCTAGTATGTGACTTTATATACTATAGTATTTCTAACTGTATACCTCAATCACTTTTAAAAGCATTTGTCCTTTAAATTTTCAACCCATATATAATTGGGCATATGTCCTTATTGTCCTTGAGCTATTTTTAATTGAGACTTGAGTATAAAACTAGTAACCTTTATGAAGTGACTGTAATTGAAAACCTAGCCTGACTAAAGATATGTTACATTATCACGTTTAGCCTTTATAATCCCATATCACTAAGCATTTACAGTGCAGGAAAGCTAATTGGAAATGGCAGTTTCCTATGGAGCATGAATAAATCTAAAGAAGAGTATAATTATTAAAGGACAGAATTGTCTTCAGTGATCAGGAGTTGCAATGCTCTATGGCAGTGGAAAATTTAAGTTGTAGGAAATCAAGTTTTAAGTTCAGTTTCAGAAAAAGGAAAACTAGGAAGTCAGTTGTGTACTTGCAGCTCTTGGCCCTCAATGCTGCTTCAGCAATTAACTGGGTAATTAGGTGCATTATACTTGTTTCTTTTAAAATTCCTTACATTTTATGTTTTAACAAGGCCTCTAGCGTTAATGGAAGTGTTTTACTTTCCTCTGCTGTATTTTAAAAATAAAGTTCTCTTCTGTGTTGTTTGCTAGAAGCTGAGTTGTGATATGGAGATGACATTATGAAATCTAATCCCAGAAGTTGGGGGGATAAAATCAAATTGATTATAAGGATGGGAATTGCAGTACTGAAATATTGGAGCGGGAGGGTGTTCTGATTATTTAAGAAGTCCTAATCTACTAGCCTGGCCTTTGTTTGTGCTAGGTGGGTAAGGATACAGTACTAGTCTTTGAGGAAGCAAGAGATTGGCTGGAGAGGGGTCACTTGTGTCCTGTACAGGCATCATAAACTTTGAGGCTTTTTCAGGTGAGGCTGCATGTGAGACTTGGCTATTAGATGTGGGAGAAGTGGGTTGAGGCTTGTTTGAACTATGTTGGCACATAGGCAAATAGGGAGTCTCTTGCTCAAGAAACCATCTTTAGACAGGTGTGTAACATGGCCTTCTTGGTTATTAAAGTGCAAGTGAGGTGCTGTCACTGCTTCTGAAGTCCTCAGATTTTTGATCAATGTAGTTATGGTGTAGGCTGATTCTTTACCTACTCCTACAAATGATCAAGAGTCTGCACCCTTCGATGCTGTTGAGTCATTCAGAAGTTGTCACTTGCAGTTTGCGTTAGCCCTCTTTCCCTGTGAAAATAGGGAGATCCAGAATCCAAGGCCATCATTAAGGCATTTCGGCTTCTGTTATAGAAGAAGGTTGGCAGCTGAGAGAGAAGGGGCAGAGTCAATTAGGACTTGTATTTATGGTGGGGATTTTCAGGCATTGGGAAGAGTGAGTAGTGACTGATTATCCGGGGATCACCCTTGTAACTTTGTAACTTTGGGTGCCTTAATGCTGTGCTGCTATGGCTCAGAGCCCTGACACTAGTAGCCAGCCGACAAACAAAGACTCAGCCTGGCCTCCACCAGTTTAATTACTCCTTGCAGGGTGACTCCAAGAGCCCTTCTGGTCCTGAGCCTCTCCACATTTGTCTAACCCGAGTTCTAAACCACCAGACACTGGGACTCTTCCCTTCTGGTTTGTTACCCCCCAAAGTGTGGAAACAGTCCTCAGTTATCAGCTCACTTTAGCAGACACTCCTCACAGTTTGCACACCAGAGACCTGCTTGGGATAAAAATAAACAACATTTATTTAATAAAATAATCTCAGACTCAAAGATGAAATAGTAAGGAAAAAGCAAACAAGTTAAGGAATATAAACATAAAGATGCAACTTCATGCTTTACATTTCTATATTAGATAAATTCCTTTTTCTAATACAAACTTACCTATTGCCTTTGAACAGTTTCCCAGCTTGCCCCCTAGCCTTAGGTGATGAGATCCTGTGTTCACAGGCAGCGCCCTCCACCCCGTCCCTTCTGCTGTTGAGACTGTCCCTTAGTTCAGTGCTTTTCACTTCAAACTCCACCTTCCCTTTTAATATGGCTTGCAGTTTTTTCTGCCCTGACTATGGTAATTCATTGTTTCTCAGAACAGGGGAAATTCCCTTTTGATTTGGTAGCTGGGGTATCTGTGTCTTCCCATTATCTGTAATGGTACATTATTTGACTTTTCCTGGGTTGTACGATGGATTGTTACTTGTCTGCTGTGAGATATATTTGAAGATGCATCTGAAGAAGTGAGGTTTTACCCACAAAAGCTTATGCCCAAATAAATCTGTTAGTCTTTAAAGTGCCACCAGACTCCTTGTTGTTTTTGAAATTGTAGCTCATATCATGAGCATAGTATTCTGTATACGTATATTCGTAATCAGTCTGTATACATATTTCAGATCATCAGGTTCAGAACATTACAGGTTTTCATAAAAGACCTTATTCAACATATTTTTGTACACAACATTGTATACAACCTGTGGATTCAGTTGCTTACTCTGTGAGATTCAGACCCACTGTTCTCTCCTTGGAGTGTCTGAGCCCTGATTGTCACACCCCCTTTGTGAGTTTGATGGAGCTGTCTACTGGTGTCAGGGCTCTGAAGGCAACTCATGGCTGCAGGACAGGTGGTGACAGAACCCCTTACTGATTTGGGTGATCCCCAGAACATCACAATGACTTCTCCCCTTTTGCCCCCTCATAAGGGTTTTAGCTGGATTACTTCCCCCCTCCTCGTTGGGCATAGAGTGGGGTTCTGGTATACATCTCTGCTGCAGAGAGTGGACTCTTCACCTCTACTAGCAGATTCACTGCCATTTCTGTGTGAATACAGAGGATGGGTTTTCTCAACCTTCCCCAGAAGCCCCAGGTGACCATCTGTTCATATGCTTCATTGGCTCAAAGAGTTAATGTTTAAGAGAATGAGTTGTCATACACAAACCCCTTCTAAGAAAGGGCTTAAGCATTTCATTAGTAAAATATCTCCTGAAAATGAACATTAAATTAATTCTCTACTATGAAATATATAAGAAATACTTACTAATTTTTTCAGTTTTCTGTAGGTGGTTAGCTCTAATATCAGACAGAACATGGAGGCTGCCATTGTTAGTATGGGATGGGAAAAGCACTTGCTTCTAATGGAAAGCGGGGTTTGGGTTATACCAAACTTCTTCAGGTTAAAAGTTTTTTGCTCATCTTCTGTAGCAGCCTTTTCAGTTATCTTTGCATAGCAGAATATTGGAGATGGCTGGCAGAAGGTTTAGGTGAAAAAACAGTGACAAGCTAAAAGGTTATAATCCTATAAAGTGAGTGTGAGCAGGCATTCAAAGGGCTGGTCTACACTGTGCGGGGGGATCGATCCAAGATACGCAACTTCAGCTACGCGAATAGCGTAGCTGAAGTCGAAGGATTTTGGATAGAATTACCTGGGGTCCAGATGGCGCGGTATCGACAGTTGCGGGATTGACGGCCGCGGCTCCCCTTTCGACTGTGCTACCGCCGTTTGCTCTGGTGGAGTTCCGGAGTCTACGGTGAGCGCGTTCGGGGATCGATATATCGCGTCTTAACAAGACGCGATATATCGATCCCGGATAAATCGATTGCTATCCACCGATACGGCGGGTCGTGAAGACGTACCCAAAGAGTGTAACCAAGTACATTTCGATCTTAAATAGAAAAGAATACAGTCATTGGATCTTACTTTAGAAATCTTAGTGGATAAAAGAGTTGGAACCTCTTGATCAATATCTATTTCAGGGTAGTAGAATGCCTTATGAATTTTATGCTGTTCGGATTTGATAGTAACAAAACTTTGTTTTGAATTTTAGGACCTAAGTGAGTTTAAGGAGTTAGCGGCATGTGTCTTTCCCAGGTAGGCTCATCTTCAAATTACAATTGAGCAGTTTTTTCACGGATATCAACTGTCAAATTCCAGCTATCTTCTTGGCTAAATTAAGCATAAAATTATGGTTGTGACTCGTATTACAATTTGCAGTGATTTAAGAACAATTTAGTTTAAAAATAATCTTACTGTTTGCATTTTAATTCATATTTATGACATTGCTGATTGCATCGCCCTTGTCAGAATACTTCTTAGCCAAAGAGAAGCCTTTACAAAAAATTCTTTGTATGAAAATTATTTGCTATTAATGTTACTAGTTTCACCTTTTTATCAGGCTTAGTTTGTTGACTTTTTCTAGTGGACATAGCTCAGTTCTGATACTCCCTGAAGATCTGTGTTAATGACTTTCAGCATCTTAATGTTGTTGTTTACCACTGAGTAAAACAAAATATCCTTGAGTGTTTAGCAAAATTGTTTATAAAAGCAAAACACTTTATTCTTACCTCTTAAATTTCATTTTTAGACTATTGGATACTAAACTGATGGCAAGTACGCAACCTTTTAAGGTAACTTACAAATGTAAATAACTATAATCTTTTTGTGTGTGTTTTAAATGAGTACTGAAATACAAGTAATATTTTGCTAGAAGATAACCAATAATAGAATGTTTCATTTATAAATACTACCTCTGTTGTAGCAGGATGACTTCATACTGTTGTAAAAACTCTCATCTAACCCTTCTAAAACTACAGTAAATGAGCTTTAAAATAAATTATAATACTTTTTAAAATTCCATTCTTTCATGGTAAAAGCTCTACTAGATGGCTGGTCTTGAGCAGTTAGCTTTGGGTCCTGGACAAATGTAAAGTTCTTAATTGACTCTGCCGAAACTAATCTTCTACGATTTCTACTGAGAGTTAATACAAGAAAATGTTTTATGAATTATCCATCCAGATTTTCCACGAATTCTGGGAGCCCCATTCCTGCAGTCCTTACTTGGGTAACTATCCTCTCAATCAACAGGATTTTTGCCTAGTAGGACTCTGGGTTTTTGAGTCCCAGGTGCATCATTTTTGTTTATAGACGCATTTGACTGTTCAAACGTAATTTTAACGAGATATTTTTTAAATGTCAGTTGAACGGAGTATTCAGTTAAGTTCAATTTAATGCTGTGTTGTACCACAGTTGCTGGATTTTATATCCGTAATACTAAACTATTGATTTGAATGTAGGATTTCATCATGGCCAAATTCTATCTGTATAGTAAAATATAATTTTTTTAGGTATAGCTATAAGAATTGTTTTCCCTATTTTATATACACAAAATAGGCAACTAACCCTTCTCGTGTGTGTGTGTGTGTGTGTATATACACTAGGATAACAATTCAAAATGTTGCATAAATGGAAAAATATTTGTAGGACCAATATCTTAAAGGTAGTCTTAACTTTCTAGGCACACAAGCTCTTGCAGTACGTGTGATCTGTACCAGAACAATATGGGGCACTAAAGGGAAAAAAAAACTATTTAATTCATAATTATGAATAAGAAATATGGGCAGTTAGCTATATTTTTGTCCTGTTCTAAGTGGGCTGCAAATCTTAACTTCTGCATATGTTATATATTAACTTGGTGTCCCCTTAATTCAAAAAGCACATTGCTTTTACTGTTTAAAATGTGGTTCTAATTAATGAGACTGATAGAATGGTTTTGCTTTGTGAATAACAGTTGTTGCATCCTGAATTGTCTGTCTTCTTGTGGACCTCTTCTTCAGGGGTGAAAGTAATTTAAATGACTTATCGGTACGCAGAGCGGCCGGGGTCCTAGAGCAAAGCAGGTGGCGGGCAGCTCTGGGCCCCCAGAAGGGGCGGGGCCTCAGGTGGAGGGGGCAGGGCTGGGGCCAAAATCCCCCAGCCAGCCTTTCAGCGCTGCCCGGCTGGCGCCACCCGGGGCTCCGGCAGTGATTTAAAGGGCCTGGGGCTTCGGCTGCTGACATGGTAGCAGCAGCGGCGCCGGGAGCCCTGGGCCCTTTAAATTGCCGCCGGGACCCTTTTAAATTGCTGAGCCCCGGGGTAGCTGCCCCTTTTGCCCTCCCCCATCAGCGGCGCTGCCAGTATGGTCGGCACTTCCTTGCCGGTATGCCGGATCGGACCAGACCGGCTTACTTTCTGCTCTTCTCACATTCATGACAGCAAATATTAGGTCCTGCAAGTTGCTTGCTCATCTGAATGCTGAAGCTCTATAGTATTGCAAACTCTCAGTCTTTAACTTTTAGAAGTTTCCAACTGGAAGGAAATGTTGCTTACATGTACTGCTGTTCTTCTGTGGCACATATATACTCCTTGCATACTGAGATCAGTCTGCGTGAAATTAAAAACGCTTCCTAAATATCACATACCAGTTAGAGGAATGAATGGCTAGGCTAATGATCATTCTGCAAAACTTTCCTGTGTGCCCCAGGACTGAGTGAATTCTAAAGGCGAATGGTGACCTGATGAAGCAGGTGCCTCTAGAGGTGCATACCTTGCAATAATAACTTCTGTAGCTTTTTTGGGAGGGGTGGGGGACAAGGTCTTAATGAGTAAAAATAACTAATTTATGTAGCAAGTATTTCAGTCTTGTGTTGAGCAGTACTGTTTGAATCCAAATAGATCTGAAGGCTTTTGTGACTTGTTATCAAAATATTAGTTTTCATGTTGGGTTTTGTGTTTAGCTCACATACTTCAGTGATATTTGCTTTGGAATTTTTACGGTACTTATAATTTTGGGTTTTGGGGGGGGGAATAGAAATAATGTTATCATTTGTGTACATGCCTTGTGCATCTAATTGGGGTTTTTGGATGCCATGCAACAAATATTCTGAGCTTGACCACTGGGTTGAAAATTATTTGGCAGGTTCTTAATATAGTTTTTAAAGACAGTAGTACTTGTTTATCTTGTTTTTCAGCTCTGGTGGCTAAAACTTTGTTCTCAGAATAGGTCTGTCTGAGGTAGTGCTAGTGCAAGCCTTCCCACCCTATTCTACCCATGTAGCTTTACACTGGATGGATGGCCACTGTGAGTGAGGGTATTCCAGTCTGGGTTCCGTTTGGTTCTTGGCTTCTGGTGATTGTCTTGAAACATAAGAGTTAAACTCAAACCACAAAATTACTACATATATTGTAGATAGCTGAGGTTGTAGGATGATAGCGCAGCTGAGTAGGGAGAACTAAGTTCTACTGACTTAAAGTGGTTATCACCTTGAGCAAGTTGCTGCATGTTTCTCTTTGTACAATGGAGAGACTAATGGTGTTATAAATACAAAGTATTTAGTGACCCAAATAATGAATTAGACTAGATTGTCTTTTTATTTCAGATTTAAGAATCTTCGTGTAATGTGTCAGTGACTACTTTTGTTATATTGAATAAAGCTAGTCAACTAAGCTAATGTATAAGATTTGCTAACTCTAATAAATCAGACACCATATAACAGTGTAACTAAACTGTTAGTCTATTTCTATTGCTTGGCTACCCCATTAAGCAACAGTACACCTTGTTATGTATTCTTTACTATCTGTTTAAACAAAATCTCACCAGCTCAAGTACCAATATTTTTGGTTAGCTATATCCTTTCTGGGCAAGAGGTGCTCAGTTCTAATTCCATAACCTGCTGTAAACCTTGGTTTTTGTGAATTGTTGTTTGTGCTCCTTTTTCAGCAGGGGGCCAAATTTTAGATAAGAACTGTGCCTCAATATTGATTTTTCTGTTTTTTTAGGGTTCCCAGAGCCTAAATTGCTTTTGATAGAAATAGTGTAATTGTAACAATTATTTGCATGGAACCTTAAACTTGAGTTGGAACAAACTGTTCATTCCAAGACTTTAGAGTTTGGAACTGGATTGTGTATAGCTCTGTAGAGCACACAGGCCAGCGGTACTAAATCCCAATTGTTACCTCTAATCCATATGATTTCAATATATGGTAAAATGCATTTGGCATTGATGTCCTCACATACTGTGCCTTATGTTTCTAGGAAATTATTAACAACACATCCCTTGCAGAACTGGAAAAGCGTTTAAAAGAGATTCCATTCAACCCTCCTGAAGTTGGTAAGGATGCATAAAAACGTTTGTCCCATGGCCCTAAATTATGTGCTAGGTTTCCTCTTTCGCAGGAAAGATTGATATGCTAATTGCTTGGTTTGGGATGTAAAATGGTCTCTTTCTAAATTAAATGGTATTTAAACTCCATTTAGTATTGGCAGTGGGTTACATATATGCAATACCATTTGTGATCATTATTCTTTGTGGTTTTAGGCATTATACTTCAGCTTTATTTTGAGTGAAGTAGAATAGTAATTCTTGAATGAACAGCTGTTCTGTCACTGTACTGATGGCATTTGTTCTGTAGCTTAGGTTTTGGTGAATAATTTCTGGGCTATGTCTCAAATTAAGCCAAGATGTAAGTACTTTACTCTAAAAGCTCTTATTTAATTAATTACCAGTAGTACTTAGCTGGACTCTTTGAAAAATACAGTAGTAACTAGATCCCATGCTAACTTTTAGAATGTAATTAAGTACTGTGGAGCTGTATCACTTTTTCTAAGGCAGTGGCATGAAAGAAGAGATGTTAAATGATCAGAAGGGACAGACTGGTTTTAACATTCTGAAATAGAGGGCACGAATTGCTGATATAGAAAGGGGAAAAACCATTGGGCAGCGTAACATGTTAAAAGGCAGGAGGAGAGGGTCTCTTGTCTTAAGCAGTACAGATGTTTGAATTACTCTGTTTAGCATTCTAAATATGCATAGCTAATGCACTTAGTTTAATAAACTTGGGTGGCTTCAAGAAAGGAAATAGTAATCCAGAGGCTTTCTGACTTCTGTCTGTAATAATCATTCTATTAACCAACCGACAGGAGGTGCTGGTGCACACCACATAGTTTCCTACTTCCACATATGTACTTTTCACAATGTATTCACTGTAGCCTCTTCGAACTTGGGGATGGGACAACTTGGCCTCTCCCTGGTGAACTCTTTTAGCTGATGTAGTACCAAATGACTGTATGAAATCATATTAATTTTGCTACTTGTTGGGTTCTGCATCAAAATTTGGTGGATACGTTAACATTAATCACTTGTAGTGAATGACTACTGTAAAGTTTGATATTGCCATAGACGTGGGTCAGAACTTTCAAGGCAAAGATGATTTAAAGTTATTGAAATACTTCTGTCAATTGTTCCATTTGTGGAGAAATGTGTTTGTGGGTATGCATTGTGGCGTTAAAAGGACAACTTGATTTTAAACTCAGCTCAAACAGGTTAACTGAATCTGTTTGGTGGTAGTAACATTTTTTCTTAGAAATGTACTCTTTCGAGCGAGGATTGTTTTTGGCTGTGAAACATTGGCATACTTATGTGTTAGTGCTGTGTAACTTTTTTTGTAGATTTTTAAACTTTATGTTAAGAATTTTGAGTCATGGTTAGACACTGGAAAAATACTAGATAAGGTAGTTAGTCAGCTTATTTTGTTACATATAGGTAGGCTTCCTTTACATATGGCTAAAATACTATATTATTACACCTATTTATGTCCCTATTTTAAATATTGGGGTGTACTTCATAGCTATATTCATTCATCACTTTTGCTGCGGAAAAAACTCCTTAATTGTTGTAATGTGAATATTACTAAGCTTGACTTCCATTTCTACTGTGTGTACTTAAGTTTGGTTTAAGCAGCTGTTTCTCTCCTCCTAGTCCCATTTCCCCTTCAAAAAAATTGCTTGAACTGTTCAGATGTCTCTCTACAGACTGGGAAATTAAGTATTAAAGGCTACACAATCCTAATGTTGGGGGCTTGTGGGGTGGGAGTAAATTGACTGTCAATGGGACTTAGGCTTTCTAAATATTTTAGGGCTAAACTTTTTAAAAGTATTTAGGTGCTTAAAAATGCAGTTAGGTACTTAGTGGGATTTTCGGAATGCCACAAGATACTTATTTGCATATTTAGACATTTAAGTATCTTTAAAAAATGTGGCCCTAAGTCACCTTTGGAAATAGGATTTAGATGCTGAAGTCACTTAGGCACACTTGAAAAATTTTAGTCTGTTTGCTACCAGTGGAGTAACAATTACACGCTGTACATGTCATGTGTTGCAGAAGAATCCGAAGAAATAAGCTGATGACTAATCCTGTTCCCATTGTTTCAATGGAAGTTTGGCTGCTAAAGTGGCAGTATGGTCCAGAATGTCTCTGGGTGAGAAGGGCTATGAGAGTCTAGTGGTACAATTTTTGACTCAGTGGGAATAGGAATGGTTCCTAGAAGACTTCTCCTGTCAGTGAAGCTTTAAATTGCTTGTAATTTGTAAAACTTACTAGAATTATCCATAGTGCATTATGCACTTGCAGCAAATGTAAGTTTCCAGTTAAATATAACTTCCACTTCCATGGTACCCTTAGGTAAACATGACTTTTCCTTCTTCAGAAAGTGCAGAAGGGTTTCCAAGCTATGACACAGCTTCTGAACAACTTCATGAAGCAGGCTATGATGCTTACATAACAGGACTGTGTTTCATCTCCATGGCTAACTACCTAGGTACTATATTTTTTTTCCCCCAAAACTTTTCCTCCATGCTCTGTTTCACTGCATGTGATATGCTGAATTTCTTCTTTGTTTATTAGGTTCATTTCTCAGTCCTCCGAAAAATCATGTATCTGCTAGATCAAAACTCATTGAACCCTTTTTTAACAAGTAAGTAATCACTGTACATTACAAAACCTGCTATAATCTTAAGGTGGAGCTGAAAACCCTAGCCTCAGTTTAAACTAATCACTTGTATTTTCTTTACATTTAAAATTCCCTAGTGGCATATCTTATTTGTATTAAGAATTTCATAAAGTGTTGGTATTGGGAGTTAAAAACTCTCATATATTCATTAAATATTTCTTCTGAGCAGGGAGATGCCTGCCAACTTGCTCAAGAGAGCATGGTAGGGATTCTGTTAAAACTGTGGCTCTAGCTCCGTTGTTATTCTCGGTATTGAGATATATACTTTTGTCAGTTAGCAAATGTTTGCATAGTTCTAAGGAATAATCAAAGTGAGGAAAATAACTCTGATTAGATGTTTCTATAGTTCGTAAGGCAAGGTTAGGTATCATAGATTTAGTGTGAGCAATAATTAAGCTTGTTGCTGCACTGATTTAAAAAAAAGAGATAGATGTAGCCTAGAAGTATGTCCAAAGGATCCAGAGTGGTATTTTTGATGCAGCTTTTGCTTTATCTGGACCAGAATCTTAATATCTGTGACATATTTAAGATAGCAGGCAATACACTTTTAAAGAAGTTACGTTGAATTTTCAGAATAAATTCATAGGATCTGAAATTCACAGCATTTTTTATTTCTGGATTAGATATTCATGAAGATCTTAAAGATTTAATTGAGAATTTTAGAAATCTAAAGGGTTTTTTTGTGCATGTTTCTGATGCTTTGATTATTCATAGTCTTTCCTTATCATGCTTCTGAAGGTAGAATAATCTTACATGATGGCATGTGAACACAGTAAGGTTATGATGGGGAATCTCTTAACAGAGATTTAGTGACAGTTGTGAACTGAAGACTACCACATTTTGGAAAGAAATAACCAAATCTGCAAACTGTCACCTTATTGGAGATAACATTGAAGGCATGTTGAGCTAAGTCACAAAGAAACTTAGGGGCATCAGCACTCCCGATTTTTTTGGCACTTACAAAATCACTGAGATTCACAAAGCTTGAGTTAGGCACATAGGTGCCCTATACAATGAGGGGACAGGGGGAGAGCCTCCTGAGAGTGGGTTTCACAAAAGGCAGCATGCTGGCAGCTCCTTGCCTAAACTAGCCAATGGGAGATGCCAAGATGAGGTTTTCATCCTACACCCTGTACTTCTGAGATAGGCATGCCTAAATTCGGGATGCAGGGCGGTGCCTTCCTATATTGGGATTCTCAGCTGCACACCCTTGCTTGACATTAGGCACCTATGCCATTTTATCAAGAAGCTGAGAGGGAGGGGAAGGAGGAGGATCTCCCTCATAACTTTTAGCCCAGTGGTTAGGATACTCACTAGGGATATGGGAGACCCTGGTTCACGCCCCTCCCACCACCTGAGGGGAAGAAGGGATTTGAACAGGGATATGCCACTTTTCGTGTGAGTAAATAATCACTGTGCAATAGGATATTGTGATGGGTGGGACTCCCTCAGTCTCTCTGAAGGTGTTTCACTGTGAATAAATAATTAAAGTGTCATTGGGAGCAAGAATAAATCATTCAGTGGCCTGGTGGTTAGAGCACTCACCTGGGAGGTAATAGACCTGCTCCAGTGACTTTACTTGTCCACAGTAGAACAGCTTCATCAGGTAGAACAGAAGGAGTCCCACACCAGGATATCCTACAGCTGAATGTTTAGGATGCTCACCAGAGAGGTAGCATATCCCTTTTCAGATCTCTTCTCCCCTTCAGTTAGAGGGTTGAAGGGGGTAGGGAGGCTTGAATCAGGGCTCTCCCACATCCCATGTGAGTACCTGAATCACTGGGCTAAAAGTTATGAGGGAGGTAGCCATCCCGTCCCAGATGTTGTTTTGTATAAGCTTGTCTATAGGGTTCCGATCTGCTAGGCGAGGTTTGCATGCTTACCAGATCAGCCCCGTAGGCAAATTAGGAGGAGGAACCCCTCTTTTCTCCTGGCTTGTGAATGGCTCTGGAACTCATGCATCTGACGCCTGGCATGGGGCAGTATTGTGTATGTTCAGAGGCAGAAACAGACACCTAGAACTTTTACTGAAAAAGATGTAGGTGCTTGCAGACTTTAGGTGCCTGCAGGATTTGGCAACAGCTGAATGATGGTTTGGTGAATCCCAGTAGTTGCCCGAAGTGGCAGCTGCTTAAGTCCTTTTGTGACTCTAGCCCATTAAGTAGACTTTTAAATTCCCCTTATCCATTCTATCATTTCAAAAGGCCATTTTATCTGATCATTTTGTAAGTTCTTCCATTATCTATGATATACTAGTGACTGAAAAGTGTAGATTAGTGATCAACTGGAATTCAACACCACTCTTATTGCATACATTCAGTTGAGTAAATGAGAGCTGGCTGCAGCGTTGATCAGTCTAGTCTCACTTAATCCTGTGATACATATAACTTTAGAGTGAGATGTATTTTGAGAGGTTGTTCAATACATGACATTAACACGTTCGTTCGCTCACTCCCAGTAGCTGTAGATTAAAACACTTTTTTACAGAAATTCCAAGTGTGTCATTATATTCTTCATAATATACTGAAACTGATTAAAAGTGTCTATGGTCTTGTTAGACTTGGAGATCTCTGCCACAAATATATATGGATTGAGAGAATTCCAAGTCAGTAATAAATGAAATTTAAACACTTAAAACTAAAATATCCTTATTAAAGAGGCTCTGTAGAGTCTTCTAAAGAAACTACAAATCTAAAATTTCTAAAATACTGTCTCGAAGCAACCATGCTGATGAGTTTGTTAGATTGAGAACCCATATTGATAGTAAATCCATTTTTCTGTTTGTGACATTTTCCAGATATTAAAGAATTTTAGTTTTTGGGAAATGTAGGCTAGAGTATGTAAATGTTATGTATAGTTATTGTAGTAGTTGGAGTGGGATTGGAGGAGATGGGTTATTGGCTCCACCACTGACTTGTCTCAGTTTCCTATTTGTAAAATAGGAATACTTTGTGAACCTATCACATAGGGATGTTGAGGCACTTTAACACATTCATCCCAGTACTAAGAGTTATCGCTTCTATTGCAATTTTCATTCAAAGATCTTAAAGATGGCTTCCTCCAAATGCAAAAAGGACTGGAAAACACTCCATAAGATGTATAGAGCGGACATTCTTTCTCTTTGTGACTTCCTGCATTAGCTATTGACTGTAAATGCTTAATAGGAAAAGTTTGAGTTATATTGATAACAACATTAAAATAAACAAGTTTGAGTTAATGTAGTGAAAACACATTTATATTTACCGATGATTACATAAATCTAGTTAATTCCGCACAGGCACCTCTTATTTATTTCATAGTATAAGGTGACATTCTTAAATGACTATTTGTCTGTTTGCAGAAGTTTCAAACAGACAAAAGAGGTAATCTCTAATCATGGATAAAGATACTGACTCTCTATTCCTAATCCATGCAGACTAGTGAAAATACAGATGTAGCAGATCTCATTTGTTGCACCACATTCCCACTGATGTAACTTAGTTTTAAATGCAAGTGCAAATATTGATTATATTAACTAATGTGGTATTTTGAAATGCACCATTTAAAGAAATACTACTGCGACTATCTCAATTCTAAAATCAGTGCTTTTATAAGGAAGCAGATCTCTGACCTTGATAAATTCCTGGCGTATACATAATTTTTGGTGCCTGTCTATTCTTGCTATCAGCCACAATTTGTTTTCCTAAACATGCTTTTAAAACTAACTTGTGGGAGGAGGGTAGCCTTAATATTAAATACCCATTGGTAGTATTCTAGCTAAACTTTTTTCTCCAGCATTTTAGTAAACTAGCATCTGCGACAATTAGCTTAATGACAACAACTGTCTACTAAGAGTAAATGAATGAATTGGATAACACTTAGGTAGCTGGTGCTGAGACAACTTGTGTAAGAGGTTTCTCCAGTGTTTGCCATCAGCGAAGCTGCTTTTCTTTAACACTTGCCGTTCTGCACTTCTAGTGGAAACCTGAACATTTTGGAGAACTCTTCTCTTTTATTGAGTTACCAATTTGGAACTCAATTAAATATTATGGTGGCTTAAAAGCTTTGAAATTGGTCAAGAGCAGATGCAATTTAGCTTTGTTCAGTTACTCTTCAAATCTAGTAAATATGGTTGGTTCTTTTGTTGTGAAGGGCAAAAAATTATAGCAGCATTCCTAACATCATCTGAATGTTTTCTCCTTGTACATAATGTGAGGACATAAATTGCAAGGATAATCTACCAATCGAGGATGCAGCACACTCACTATAAAGCAATATACTAACTTATACATAATGGTGGTGTCACAAATAAGTTACTGGTGGAAGGTTATGTTGCACATGCATATAGTAGCTGCAGTGGTTAACGTCTTGCATCTGCTGAAATTTTCTACCTAAGGGTAGGTCTGCACTTACCTCCGGGTCCGGCGGTAAGCAATCGATCTTCTGGGATCGATCCCGGAAGTGCTCGCCGTCGATGCCGGTACTCCAGCTCAGCGAGAGGAGTACGCGGCATCGACGGGGGAGCCTGTCTGCCGCGTCTGGACCTGCAGTAAGTTCGAACTAAGGTACTTCGAATTCAGTTACATTATTAGCGTAGCTGAATTTGCGTACCTTAGTTCGAAGTGGGGGGTTAGTGTGGACCAGGCCTTAGCTACAATTCCTGGCAATTCAGAATTGGTATACAAGTCACTTTGTCAATGATAACCCCTCTTTTGGGGAGGTTTCCTAGTACTTACATAGAGATGATGTACAATGT